ATCCACTTTTTAGGCTGAAATCATATTGGTTATTTCAATTACTTATAACTTTAAAGCTGTTTAATTGAATATATAGGCGCTGATATTTAATTAAACATACATTTAATGCTGATAGTAGTGAATCACTGTCAAATTCTTTAATCCGTAATTAAGCCAAACCAGCTAGCGGGCTTTCTTTCATTTCAGAGCACAACCACTGAATATAAGAAGAGAAATAGATAATTGTGCTCTTAAAGTGGGAATGCCTGGTAGAGTTCGAGGAGCGTGAACGTAATGGGTAATCCAACTGAAAAACACTTTCTAATTTGGGTCGAATTCAACAGAGTTATCGGCACATTATAGAATTAAATTATTAAATTAAATTAATTAAATTAATTAATTAAATTAATTAAATTAATTAATTAAATTATTATTATTATTATTTGTCAATTTTACCATTCGGATTTAATACTTGTAACGTAAGTGGACCACCGTAAGTCCAAAAATGAAGACAAATTTCAAGCGGACAAATTAAACCAATTTTGCTCACCAATTGACGCCAAAAACAACTTTTTGGAGTCGTCCGTCAACTCTGACGCGTCTCTGCGCTTTCGGCTGACATGTTGCTGTTTCAATTTTCCAAAGCTCCACTTTGCTTGTGGTTCAACTGAAGACGGCCGCATGGTTACAGATATCGTTTCCGTATACGCATTTGGGACAGATGAAACTGGCGGTCGGACTGATCTGCTATAATGAATGATTCGTTTGCGAATACAAAAGCGTTTCCAGTTATCTAGTCTGGCTGCAACAATTCGTCGTGATACAGAGGGGATTCTGGGCCCTTGATTTGTTGTTTCTAAAGACGCTGAAAGCATTGTCGAAGACGACAGGAATGTGGTCAATTCCCGCCAAAATGCCTTTTGATTCAGAGAACCTCCGTTGACGGGCTGCGGCGAGACCGGGCCCGAGGAAAGTGGAACGGCAGGCGGGCCATGATCTACCGGTACCATAACAACATACTGGAGTGAGACGTTCTCAACTAATTGATACCAGTCTAGGGTATAAGGTGCATAACAGAGTCCAGGGTTGTCGTAGAAGATTACATGGTGCCGTAGGATAGCTGTTCAGTCATAATTAAGGAATATACATAAATTTTATTTTGTACATTATAGTGTTCCTATCGAGACTACCTAGGCAGGGGTATCTACCACAAAGACGAATTAAGGCTTAGCTATTTACTTTTGAAGTGTCAGCTTTTACTTATTCCCAAATGAATTCCAAATTCATGTTAGTGTTTCTGGAGCACTGTGGAGGCGCCCACACTAGGATTATGAATATGCTGAGGAGTCAAATTTTAAGAAAATCCGCACGGTCAAATGACGTATGATCTAATCATTTTTTGACAGGACCGTTAAAGAAGAAAATCATATGCGCATTTCGACAAAAAAAATCAGCCGAATAATATAGCTTTGCTTACAATTGTAGCTATCCGATGTTCATCGTGATCATGACAAATATTCAAGAATCCATGCCTTCCGTGACTGGCTAGTATGTTTTTAATCTTATGCAAACATATATCTTTTAAGCGACATACTATTCTTAAACTCATTTATACCTAATATTAAAATAAATAAATCGTTCTATCTTGCTAGTTTTAATCAAGTGATGACTAATTTTTTTCCTTTTAAGGCATTTTATGATTAGTAAATAAATCTTATTTTTTTCATTTAACGTTATAATTTTTACTCTATTAGAACAAAATAGGTAGGCCAAAAAGAATAGTCAGCGAAGAATGCTATAATAGTGTAACTACACAGGCACAACCAAGTCTATTGCTGATTAATTTTATTTAGGTCCTGGCTGTTATCTAGACCTTTGATTAGAGGTGGAAGAGAATCAAATTAAGTGGTTATATGTAAATATTTAATAATGTGTTTGTTGAAAGATATCCCAGAAGATGCTATAATCCAGCTTATAATCTCTTTCATCCCCTCTAGCAATTCCACAAGCATTTTATTAATTTCCAAATGTATCTTGCCAAATCAAATAGCTAAGATTCTTATTTGCTTGAATATCTATTTTCTATCTAAATTTTGGGTCCTTACTCATAGTGAACACCAAAGGATATCATAGTTTACCTCTATTTTTATATAAGTCTCCTCAACTACAGTTCAAACCCATGAAAAAGATAGTGACATTAATTGACATTTCACGAATTTCTTCCAATTTTTCCTTCAAAATGTAAAGTCATGTCACAATATATCACAAAGGAATTTTACGAAACCCAGGTTTTCTTCATACCATGAAAAAGGTATTTCTGAATAGATTGACTTGAAAATAGGGACCTATAACTTATTTTTGGGTGCATTAAAATGGCATATATATATATATATATATATATATATATAATTTATACAACTTTATCATTATTTTACTGGATTAAACGTGCAGTTTTTAGTGATGAACTTAAGAAAATGATTTAGTTTGGCTGGTATTATATATTGTAGCTACGAAGTAAAACCGGTGGACAAAAGCTCAGCACATTTTCACCGGAAACGAGGGAGGAGGTCTTGTGGATCCTGTCAACATGAATATCGTATAAAAGCCAAACGGCTGCAGTACAACGAGATTTATTCGTCCTCATCTGGTGAGATCGACCAACTAATCTCTTCTTCATGCACTTTCATACGAAATAGAAGTCCCTCTAACAATGACATTATATAGCATGTACCACGATTTTAAACTCGACGTTGTCCAAGCAGCACCCTCTGAAAAATCATATACAACTAAATAGCGAGTGTAGACAGTTTTATTGAAATTCTTTCATTACTCTCTACTCTTTCTCAAGCCCGTAAATCTTTTTGATGAGCTGGCAACATAATAAGTCTTATATGTGAACGTTTTCTCTGCTGTCTTCCTTGGCCTTCTGAAATGTGACAGTATTCCGTAATTTTTATCTTAACGCCTTTAAGCGCACTCCACAAAAGACATCAGATTCCAAATAATCTTTCAAATTTAGATCATGTATCTAACTGTTAGCACTAATAGGAGATCATAACTGACCATTGTTCGTCATTTCGAGGCTGAGCTTATCAATTCTGTTAACGGGCATGACATGGTAAAATTTACATTAAACCGACAGTGAAGCATAAATATAGTGAATTGACGATAGCTCGTCAAATCACACAACATTTATCAATGAAAGAAGGAAGATCATGCTGGAAAGATTTCTTTAATTGGTGTTCAATCGAGGCGAGTTTTTAGATGCTCTTTTACGTAGAAGACCTTTACAATTGTGAAGAACGAGACTAACCTAATTTACTGGTGTTGGAGGTGAACATAGTGTTAATATGGACAAAAATAACAGAAATAACTCGTATACGAAATGATAAATTTCAAACTATGAAATCTGGTTAATTCAAACAAGTATCCGTTTATTTAATACATTCATCTGCTCGGTGTAGGATAATTTTGAAGTAGGATCTAAACTAATCTCTACTCGATATTATCAGTTCAGGTGCTTTTACTCTTATCAAAAGGAAGTTCCCGGTGAGAATTTAGTTCTAAGCTTTACCATTAATTATTAGTAATTATTTTGCTGTTATAATAAATTTTTTTCAATCTGAATTATTATATGATTTATTTGTAAATTATTTAAGCAATTTTAATGTTTAAATTGTTGCAGTAAGAATAAGAATAACATTTACATGAGAAGCCTTATTTCACTTACGCTTTCATTTGAGCTTGTCGTATTGTACGAAAGTCAGTTTATTGTTGAGGGGCTATTTTAAATCAAGCTGCCTACTTATTCTAAGTGGAAGTCTTCGTAGATTATGAAACTGGATCAAATGGAACTATGCCAGTATCGAACAGTTAAAATGAATTATTAAGAATTATCCTGATAAAATATGTGAGCCAATTCTAACCAATTTTGCTTGTGGCCTCGAAACCTACTCAAACTGAGCACAAAAAATGAACTAATCCCTTTTCATAAATGGAAAGAGATTTTTGAGTATGCTAATTTAAGAAGGGTAGTTTGGAAGATTTCTCTGAGAATTAATAGTAAATTCGTTTTTGAGTTTTGGATTTTGTATCAAAATACACCGTGGCTTTTGATGAGTGAATTTTGGTTCTCGAAAATCGCTTTAATAAGACTACGTTAAACTTCCGTTCTTCGTGTAAATTCATTGTAATTCATCTAAACGCACATTTATTTAGAGTTCTTACCGGAAGTTTTTATCTCTAATACAAATAATAGAAAGCTAGTATCTGGCTAGACTTTGATGAAATTTAGTTTATATTTACTCCATCATATAATCGAATTAATGTTAATGAATAGCTTTCCTAATTGTGGCTAATTTAGTGCTAATGCAGAGGTTTTTAAGAAATGATACTTTAAGTCATTTGACTAAACCATTCACATTTATGTAAAGTCGATTGTAATCTAGCAAGCGGAAGTACCTCCATTTAAAACATCAATGTTTGGAGTGAAAGTAAAGGACTAGGTTCTAAATGTCTGTATTAACTGTTGATTTCGTTGTGCGCAGATGTGCTGGCGTGTTTGTATGCCCGCCTGCGTTCACATCGCTTCTGAGCTATTTATTCCATACTTCTTAATCTAAAATAAGAATAATTAAGCCGAGAGGCTTGCCTCCTTTCTGGGACCAAATATACATCTTTCCTCCCACAAAGTTTGCCTAAAAACAACAGAGAACTTTTAGAAGGCATCGTTTCCTCGCCTATTGTAATTCACTAATTCACAGCTAGCTTACGTCACCTTCCTATTAAAAAACGATTTATTTGGGGAATCCTCTATTCATTCTTTTTAAGTGAGGTTTCTGCATACCATAAATAGATGATAAATAAAATCAGCCGAGAGCAAGCGATATGACATTACATTTAGAACGTGGCATAGCAAATACGTTTGGAATTCCATTATTTACACGGAATCGAGGGTATGTAGACTTTAGTGTGTGTGTGTGTGTGTGTGTCTGCGTGAGTGTTTGTGTAATTGCATATGCGTGTGGGAAGTGGGCGCAGTAGGAGGTTTACCCTTAAAGATCACAAAGTTGCGAGACCAAATTGAAACTTTCCATGTACATGAATTGTTAGTAAAAGCCAAAAAACAACTTTTTTCTAACATTTATTGCCATATATTCTTCGCTTTCTATGGCTTAGGCTGGTAACTGAATAGTATTCCGATTTCTCCGAGGTCAGAACTGGGAGCAAATAAATTGTTTTCTGGACTTAGATTGGAGTCATTTGGTGTATGTCAAATCTGCCGAGCCGTTTAATGTTCAGACTTATATGCATACAGTCAAGATAGGTAATGAATTATTTACTCAAAAAGTGCCCTATTGAGGAAGGAACTTTTACATACTTATTTCCTACGATTGCATTTCGGGCTACTCACAAAGTACAATCACTCAGTCCGTTTATTAGATTTTATATTTTTCTCAGCTATTATGAAAAGTGTCATAGCTACCTAATATATTCTATAACTTAATTTTCCCCTCAAAATATTTTTCCAACTGTTCGATACTATTTAGGGCGCCTAAAAAATCGCACAATTTATGATTATTTAATCTACAAATCATGAACCTAGCACAGTGATTATCCATTCAGAATCTGCGATATGGGGAGGAAAATCTTTAAGACGCTCCAATATTCAGCGTTGTAAGCTGTATATATACATGTCTTGCATGCGATTTAAGCTGTTGCTAATTTACCAATGGTCTTAATATATTTCTACTTCATAAAAGGATTTTGTCTCTCTCTCTATAAATATATATTCATGTAGGTGAGCTGGAGAGGAGGATTTGCTTAGATCTGGCTATAAAGCGCTTAAACTTAGGGGAGTACAGGGGCCTAGCTACTAAAATGCAAAAGTTTCCTGGCCAAGTCTGTGGATATTCCTGGTGTTTGAACTCTTTTGGTTTCTTCACTAGCATTATTTTGGTACCCATCTCTCGTAGAGTGATTGCCATAAATTTATGCTTACAGTATCTTG